CCCCCCGGAGGTGCCCACGGGCAGGCGGAGGCGCCAGGGGCGTCTGTGGGGCAGGGGCGAGCGAAGCCTTCGAGGTGCCCCCGGCAGAAACTGAGTGATGTGGAAAAGGTCACGGAGGGAAAGCGGAGAGGGCAGGGGTAGGAGAAAGGGACTGGCACAGAAATTGCACGTGCAAATCCAGACCCTTCTTTTTTCCAATTGGAAATGGGTAAAGTTCGGGAATATCCCATTGATCTGTGTGGCTGTTCGCGCTGCAGTTACCTCTGTCGTGCGACCGACATCGGCAGAAACTGAGTGATGTGGAAAAGGTCACGGAGGGAAAGCGGAGAGGGCAGGGGTAGGAGAAAGGGACTGGCACAGAAATTGCACGTGCAAATCCAGACCCTTCTTTTTTCCAATTGGAAATGGGTAAAGTTCGGGAATATCCCATTGATCTGTGTGGCTGTTCGCGCTGCAGTTACCTCTGTCGTGCGACCGACATCGCTTGAGGGGCGCCCCGAGATGCAGCCCCTCTGCCTTGGTGCCTGCGGGCCTGGAGTCTCCTCGCGAGGGCGACGGGCAGGCAGGTTCCCAGGGCAGCCCTCCCTCCGGCCGTGCCCTTCCTGGAAAAGAGCCCCTCACCTCCAGTTTATTCCCTGCTTTCTCCCATGCTTTAATGGGACCATGCACGTATATCCTCCAACCACGCAGGGCCTCAAAGTTGGTCAGCAAACACTGCAGGTGGGTGGCAGCCCCGAAGTTTGTATGCTCAGTTCTGAATTAAGACTGGCTCTGCCTATAAATTTATAACAAATTTATGGTCTGGGAGATGGGAGCTGCAGCTTAGACTTAAAGTCTGGATTTGTGGAAATGGTTCTTGTGACTTCCTAAATCCTGCAGAGCTTTTCTGTTGTTTCACTATTGGAGAGAAGGCGGCTGCTGTTTTAGAAATGCGAGGTGATGCTTTTCAAAGTGGGCTTTTCAAGCATTTCAGATGAAAAATTGGGCCTCTTACTTCTTATAAACAGCAGCAGCAGCTGCCTGTGCGGGGAGCGTTGGCTCTTTCTGCATGTGCATGTCCTGGGCTTTGTTAACAGCAGTGGAAGCTCCCCAGGCTGACCTGGGCAAGAAGAAAAAGAATAGTTTTATTTTCCACAGTTCTGAATTGCTTTTAGGCTTTAATCTTGGACGGAGAACAAAAAGCCTTAAAGAATAAGGGAGAAAGTCCTGGTAACTCTGTATTCCTTAGGATAACATTCTAACTCTTGTTAGCATAGAAAACCAGCATCCTTGGTGCTAGCAATAAATAAGTTTATTTCTTGCTGGAAAGCGAGGAGGAGGAGGGAAAGCCTTTGCTAAGGAAAGCTGGAGCTGAGCCCTGGTGCTTGTGGCTGTTCCTGCTGCTGTTTCTCTACCAATTGTTTAACTTTCCTGATATTACTTTGTGCCTGCTCTTTTCTTATTTTTTTGAGCAAGCCCAAGAAAAAGGGCACGTTGTAACACAACATATGCAGCTCCCTTTGGACATAAGTTGTTTACTCTGTTTTCTTGTTTAAATATTGGTAGAAGACTGACTGCAATGCTGCTGCTGAATAAAACCTGTTAAAAGGAGAACACTTCAGCAGAGAATTTCAGGAAATTCAACCCTTTCCCCTCCCCGGATCTTCTTTATTTTTCCTTTTTTATCCCTAGGGCTGCCCACAGCTTGACAGCAGACGTTACGGCTGGGGAAGTGACGTCACTTTGCTGTCCTGCAAGCGCCCCAACGCGCACGTGAGTTTCCCAATATGCTTTTTCTTTCTCTCTTGCAGTGTCAACGCCTGCGTAGATGTCGTCCTGTCGGGTGTGAAGCTGTTAGAGGCGCTCGGTCTTGATCCTGGGGACGGAAGGAACCACGTTGTGCTGAATTCCGGGCAGGAGCTGAAGGAGGCGTTTGCCTTCTTCATGCAGAAAGGGGCAGCCGCCGAGCGCTTCTTCAGCGACGCCGACGCTTTCCATCACATAGCGCAGACGGCCTCCGAGTACCCTGATGCCCAGGTATGTTTTCCAACTGAAGACAAGGTTTGATGACTACATTACCCATTTTCTGCATCTTTGGTGGCTCTTTCTCTCCTTCTAGTGAGGCTGCAAATCATTTGATGGGGGGGAAATCCTGGTGCTTTGCTGTTGCTCGAGTGTGTGACTTTACACAAACTCTCTGCACCCTCCCCGAGCAGTAGGGCTTTGAACACTTTATCCTTTGCTTGTTTTCCTAAAACTGAATGGCATGTATTTGGCTCTGTCAATCCAAGGTGCCTCCATAAGAACCTTCCCAAAAGTATTTTTGAACATATAGGAGCCACGTGGGCCTGATGCCATTCTTAACTTGTCGTGAGGAAGGAGATTCAAGCTGAAAACACTCATATTAGGAGATTTGAGTCCCTTCTAGAAGGAGGGGTAATGAAAAGCAGTTAATAATCTTTCTGAAGCCTCCTTTTCCAAAAGCAAAGTTGTCTTCCTCTAATTTACGCTGGGTCTTCTGAAATACTGTTTTGATACCTACTTGGTAGTTGGCTAATTTCTACAAGCTGCTGTAATGCTACTTTACATGCAGCCTGGTAGCTGATTTTTTAAGAACCAGGAAGAGCAGCTTTTATTGGTCAAACTTGTCCTGTGTTGCCTTATTTCTCACCATGTTTTCTTCTGTAATATTCTGAATTGCGTTTTCTGTCAGTCCTCAATATCATCCCATGAATCTTTTTTATTAGTTAAATTTCTCCATCTTTTCTCAGTTATTTTTGGCACCTCAGATCCTAAATGATGATCTATATTTCTGGGTTTCAGTGCTCATGTAGGAGTTTTCTTAACCTGAGGAGTTTTCTCAGCTGAAGAGACTTTTGAAGTTCTGCTTGTGATCCCAAACTGGGCAAAATATTGTTACAATTCTCAGTCATTTCTTGTCCTCCTTGCATAGAAAATTAAGTTAAAATTGCCAAAAATATGTTAGCAAGAAGTATGGACTGTTTATATTATCAATTGACTCTACAGGGTTACAAGTTCCCGAATTGTAAAATTATTTTGCCCCAGGAAACTTCATGAACTTCTCTGATGCTAGAACTTTTTCTTAGCTAGTAAAATCTTGACCCTATGCAGAGCACTAAGCATGTATAAAACTATATATGTGTGTGTGTGTGTGTGTGTATATCTATCTATCTATATATATATATAAGAGGCAAAGAAACACCCATATCTGCCTGGTCTTTTTTACAGCTCTATGTAGGAGGAAATGCGGCTCTTATTGGTCAGAAGCTTGCAGCAAACCCAGACCTGAAGGTAAGTGTTCCAGAAAAGTTGCTCTGTTTTTTCACTTGTTCCAAAGTGACCGTCAGCATGTAGATCTTGTGGTCTGCTCTCCTCTTCAGGGCATGGTCGAACCACAGCTGAACCAGCCACACGGTTCCCTGCCTCTGACAGGCAGTTCGATGCCTTTCTTTGCGTCACCATTAGGGCTTGTTGCAACTTCCACAGACCTTATTCAGCCTCTGAAATAGCTTTAAAAAATAAATAAATAAAAACATTTCTGGCTTTGCCAAAGTACATCATGGTCCTGTCAGTCTGGTGAGACCTGAACTGCCTCCCTGAATGGTCAGAGATGAGAGCTAGAGCTGATTGTAAGGGAACATAGGGCCAAGATGTTGGTCGGGACAAATACATGGTGGGGATCGATCCTTGACTCTTTTATTATTTTTATTTTTCTTTATTTGCCATGGTTGTTTCCTAGATCCTCCTTTGTGGCCCGGTTGGTCCGAAGCTTCATGAACTTCTTGATGACAACGTAGTTGTGCCACCTGAATCCATGCAGGAAAGAGATGAATTCCATCTCATCTTGGAGTATCAAGCAGGTATCTTGACAAAGTTTGAATGTCAGATGGGATACGTGAACATCAAAAAGATTTGTGGTTTTAAAGTTTTTTCTGAACTTCCTCTGAATTGTTTAATTCTAGAATTATTGTAGAAATTATTGATACTAGCAGCTGTTATCAATACTAGCTGGGCTAGCATGATAATTCCATGTATTTCAGAGAGTTGTGGTACGTAAACCAACATCTTGGGCTCTTTTGAGACTTTTTTCCCCCTTTATAATATAGTTACTGTAAATCCTGAATCATGAGCCATGAATGTTGTTCAGGGTGTATTTTCATGCTACAGTGTGAATCAAACTATCAGGTGGTTGCTGCCAAAAAGGGGAGGTCTCCTCTCCCTCCACAGATTTGCACGTTCCAGCTGTTTGGCTTGAGCTGGCTGTGATGGTCCCCTAATTGCTAGCAAAATACAACTGATGAAAATGGCAGCAAGCTAACCTGGCAAAAACAAACACTGATCAGGCAAGCATCTAAGCAAGGCAGAGGGAGCCGATGAAGAGAATGAATGGAAAAGGATGTTAGAAAGAAAGACCTCTCGCACTGCTGGTTGTGGCACAGTTAGAGCTCCAGCTTCCAGCAGGCTATCCCAAAATCCTCTCTAACATGTGGTTTGATTTGCTTCTCTCACAAAGTTGACTTTTCCTGTTGCTGCGCCCTAGGTGAAGAGTGGGGACAAGTGAAAGCACCCAGTGCCAACCGCTTTATCTTCTCTCATGACGTATCAAATGGTGCCTTAAATATGTTGGAAGTGTTTGTGTCCAGCTTGGATGAATTCCAGCCGGATCTTGTGGTCCTCTCGGGACTTCACATGATGGAGGGCCAGAGCAAGGAGATGCGACAGAGACGGCTGCTGGAAGTAAGATAATTACACATTAGGCATTCCTTAATTTTCATCCCAACACTTAGTGGAAACTCTTGGTTCCTCAGGTTTGAACTTGTCATTAGGCTGTGTCTTCCGCCCTCCCACAGACCTGCTCACTGTTGCATGTTACAAGAAGAGCATGAACTGTAGGACTAATGTTTCTTGGATTCAGTGGCTTGGCTAGGGAAAAAGAAGCAATGCTCTGCTTGTCCAGCTGGGATGGATCAGCCTAGCTTTGGAGCTAATCCAGCAGTTAAATTGCACTTTTTTTCTATCCTAGATGCTAAGATGATCGAGGCTGTAATGAAGACTTTTCTTAAGCCTCATGTACAGTAGATAATCCAAGAGGGAATCTTCTTCTCTGAGCCCAGACGAGCTACATTAAGTTCTTTATTTACAGATCTTTGCCTGTCTTGCATCTAGTGCCCTTCATGCTTCAATGAGGTTTGTGAGATCTCTGACTTAAATCTATTAGAAAAATGCTGAGTTGGATGTACTTTTCTTGCTCTGGGATTCTGAACTTTTTTTTTTTTTTTTTTTCCTCTCAGCTGTTCATTCGGGCACTTGTCAGAAATCTCATTTAGAATCCTGATTAAATCCATTTATGTGGGATAATTAATCAATGTGCATCTCTGGTACAGAGCCCCTTGGTAACGTTTCTTAATGAACATGTACTTTTGTTTTGTTTTCTGTTTCTCTGCTCCTGCAGGCAGTGGCCTCCATATCTGATATTCCTACTGACATTCCCATACACCTGGAACTGGCCAGTATGACTGATCAGGATCTTATGAGCAACATTATGCATCAGGTAACCAAAGTGATAGGATGGACTTCTATCAGTTACCATTTCTTCAGCATCACAGTGCACACCTGGTGGATGATATACATGAAAACTTAGAATTAGGGCTGTGCTGTTGGAGAGCAATGGAGAACATGGGTTTAATGTCTGCTCTTGCTTTCTGAACACTTGAGTTTTCTCTACTTGGATTATCATCATTCTGCTCCAGGAAAGGAGAGCTGTAATGGCCTCTGCCCCAGCAGAGGACAGGTCCTCTCTTTAACTTAGAGGGGGTTTTCCTTTAGAATACATTTTCAGTGAGAAATTCCAATTACAAAGTATCTTACAATTGGTGGCCCTCACTCAGCTGATCATTAGGCCGTTTCCAGCAAGACGTGAGGGCCTTCTGCAAGTCTGGAAGTGTTCAGGAGACCTACATACACCTACAGGTGCAGTGGGGAAAGGTTTTGGCAGTCACAGTGGGGGAGCAGACCCAAGGGAATGCTCACAGCTTCACAAGCAACCTCACTTGGTTTGGTTTTAGCAGGCTTGCCATTTTCTGGAAGAACCAGGATTTGAAGTTGAGCTGGGATTTTAGTACAAATCAACGCCGGGCAGAATTTTTCCTGCAGATCCTGATATGGTCCTTCCTGTAACCTGACAGATCTAGTCTCAGAGCTAGGAGCGTTTGATGTAGCACTGATGTTCTGGTACTTGCTGATGTCCAAGCGTGTATGTAGAAAATCAGTTACACAGTGTGAACCTTGGCCCTCGTGAAGCGACTCCTGCACACTCTGTGCCTGCAGCTTCCCAGGGACCGGGGTGCTCCTGCGCAGTGCTGAGCATGCCCTGGTGCCGCGCGGCTTCCTGGTGCGAAGGAAAAACGTGTCGCTGTATTTCTGTTAGCAGGTCTTTCCCCTGGTGAACTCCCTGGGGCTGAACGAGCAGGAGCTGCTCTTCCTCACGCAGGCTGCCGCCGGGCCCCACGCCTCCCTGGCCTCGTGGGACGGAATTCCCGACGTGGGTATCGTCAGCGACATCCTCTTCTGGATCCTGAAGGAGCACGGGAGGAGCACGGACAGGGCCTCAGACCTCACCCGGATCCACTTCCACACCCTGGCCTATCATATCCTCGTGACAGTGGATGGCTACTGGGGCAACCAGGTGGCTGCCGTGGCCGCGGGTGCCAGAGCGGCAGGGACACAGGCCTGTGCAACTGAGACTATTGATACCAGCAAAGTCTTTCTGAAAGCTCCTCTGGAGTTTGTGACCTCCCAGACAGAGGCCCCCTCCAAAATATCTTTAAATCCAGATGAGCCAGTAGTGCATTGGCACAGAGAAGGCATCTCATTCCACTTCACTCCCGTTCTGGTGTGTAAAGATCCTGTGCGGACCGTGGGCCTCGGGGATGCTATTTCAGCCGAAGGACTGCTCTATTCCGAAGTGTATTCTCAGTAGCAGACCAAGACCCAACCTGTTCTCCGGTGCTGTGTGCTGTCTGAGGAATCACACTGTTCTCCTTAGGATTTCTGCCAGCGGGGGTATAGGAGTAGAATTAGGGTGCGATACAATTTCTGGATATAACTGAAAAAGAGCCAAAGAGTAATTCCAGGTATAAGGTGTCAGATACATTCCAGTCACTTGGCAGTGACTCGAACACTTCATGCTTAAGTGCAGAAGTTTTAATATTTTAAAAAGCAAAGACTGGCTTTTCTGTGTCTTGAGCCCGCGGGGAGGGAAGTGAGATTCCGAATCCTGTTTGGAGGAGGTTTGCTCTCTGTAACCACGAATCGGTCTCATCTGCTAGTGCTTCAGAGCAGAGCAGAATTCCTTGCTTGGAGATCGCAGGGACAGCTCAGCAGTCCTGGCCCTTGTCTTGCTTCTGAGAAAGTGAAAATAAAAGGCTCCTGCATCATGTCCTCGTGATGCATCGCCGCAGGGCAAGGGCAAACCTGCCTGCTTGGTGTGACGCTGAAATTGTACTGACAAGATTACCTCTCGGCCTCGGTGCCCCAGCACTGGAGGGAGCCAGAGCCCTGCAATGTGATTCCCAGCGTACCGGCTCCGTGGACACGCGCGGCCCCTCACACGAGCCCGCAGCCGTCGTGCCAGGGAGCCGTCTGCTTGTCTGTGACTTGTGGTGTTCAGCTGAGCCCCGGGAGCCTGCACTTAGGCAAATAAAAGTGACGATAATCAGGGTTTATATTTGGCAAAGCAGCTTTATTTACTTGTGGAATTAACCCAGGTAAAATTCTGGGATTATTTATACACTAAACACCAAGAATTTCATAGTTTGCTTCCTTTGCCAACAGAAATCTGATCTCTCCCAGCTTCCAAAAAAGCTACTGGATGCTGGACACTAAATTCTTGCTTGAGAACTGTTGTGCAATCTTCTGCTGTTCCCCTACACTCAGGAGGGTTAAGATATTTATTAGGCATGGTCCCTCTGGGGGCTGAAAAGCCGTGAAAGCAGCTTTCTTGATTGAAGCAAGGCTCTTGTTCTGGATGAAGTCACTGATAGTAGTTTCTTAGCTCTGGACAGTTTTTGAAATGAGAAAAATAAAATAGATCTTGTGTGTCTTCCCAGCCCAATGATGCCTAGTATCTTGGCATGACTAGTGTAGAAATCTTGCCAAATACCTTGTTTGTGTATTTTCCTACTGCTAGTAGCACCCTATCACTTGCACAGGCTATTCTACATTGATTTGGTATCTTCTCTGTTGTCTGTGTCTCCTTCCAAGAGCTGTGTTGTATTTGCATTGCTCTCAGACATGTTTTTCAGTCTAAGTAAATTAAATGCAATCAGTGTATCTATGCAAGCCAGGCCTGGGGAAGAATCTCTGCATCTGAATGGAGGAGAGTGATACGGAGTCCCTGGCTCTTCACCTGCAGCAATTGACTGCTGCTGTGACTGATGTTTTCCTGTTGGAAAAACCTCTGAAAGGATAAAAACTGGCAGCTGTTGTAACCTGACGTAACCCCGAACTGCCTGCCCGTGTGTAACCCGTCCTTCTGCGGCGAGGACAGGGCAGGGACGCAGCGCACGCAGCGCTCGGCTGCAGCTCACACCAGCCGCATCCTCCCCTGGCTCTGGAGTGACCACAAGCCGCCACGAACCACGGCCCTGTTGCTGGATTTCATCCCTCTCTTCCAAGAACAGTTGCTGAGATACGAGCTTGTTGGACTGTCATTGCCTTAGGGCCACTTAAAATCATGTAAAAGCACCAACAGGCCCTGTCGTGTGCAAGGGGGAGTTACTCTTGCTCTTCCCCGGAGCGTTACAGGCCTCTTGATGTTTCTGTTTTGTTTTTTAAGGTATTTCAAATAAATAACTGCTGTAAGTACAAAAGGAGTTTATCACTGAGAGCTCCCATGGGCCTAAAAACGACCCTCTCCTCAGTTATTCTGCATTCCTTCTCCCCGGGTCCTACTCCTTCCTCCTGGAGTTGTCAGCGGGAGCAGCAGCCGCCAGAGCCGCCTCTGAGCGCGCAGGGATGGTGCTGCTCCGGCGGCTGCTCCGCTTTGCAGCCCCGGCGAGCACGCCCTGTTCATCAGCTCTGCTGCTGCTGTCCCTGGCTAAGGTCTGACACGAGCTGCGTGATAACAAAACTGAAGAGCAGCGCCCAGCAGCCCTCCTTCACTCCGTACCTCCCTGCTGGAACCCGTCGTGCTCTGCGTCCTGCCTCTCACACTCCATCAGGAGATGGGCTGCGGAGGCTCCTGGAAGCCTGGCACATGTCAAGGTTGGCACCTGCCCGTGGGGTCAGTAGTGACAATGAAGCAAGAATATCCCATCTTCAACAGACTTAAGAGGTTTGTAGCAAACCTACCTACTTAAAAATCCAGCTCTGGATTCACCATGGGGACACAGCTTGCACCAATAGCCAAGTTTTAGAACTAGCTTTGAAATGATTCTTGCTTCCCGCTTGCCCTCAGCCTCTTTCTCAGCAGCTTCCTTTTCCCCTTGTGCTTTACTCCTCAGCCGTCTCGTGCTCCCGAATGCGCAAGAGGCGACGGCTTGTGCTGGTCCCAAAGGTTGATGGCAGGTGACTGGAGATGGGTGAAGGTTCCAGTTTAAGGAATCTCATCAAGATTTTGAGTACACTCAAAAGAACAGTGTAAAATGGGGAAAATACTGAGATTTAGTCTAACTTGATCTTGTGACTCGTGGCTGACACAAGGCCCTGCTGCCTGCTCTTTGCTTGTTGAGCATCTTACAGTCCCGTCCCTCTGAGGAAGGGAAGAACTGCAGTCTACACCACAAGCAGTAGGATTTTACCTGGCTTATGGTGCATTTCTTTTTCAGAAAGGGGGAGAAAAAAAAAGGTCCTGAAGCAGATGGTTCCTACTTCCCTAGAAAGCTCATTATTCTTTCCATCTTGTGTTTTCAGTTAGAGGACTGAAGCAGGTTTTTGGAGCATGAGGCTTGATTTCCAAAATCCCTAGATGATGTAGCACAGTGCTGCTGAAAAATCTCCCTGCATTTCAGTTGAAAACACACTCGAGCCTCCTGGTCACATTAGGTAGCATAAGAGCTCTCTTACAGTTAGCATTAGGCTACAACGTCTGTCAATTTACTCAGAGGGGACACAGAAGATGGAACAAGGAATTTCAGTTCTATTTATTATCCAGCTGTTAATTACATATTTAAAAATACTTCCTTAGACACAAACCCCCCTTCTGCTCCTGTCAAGTCCAGAAAGTATCAACGTGCTACTGTTTCTGTTCAGGGAAGGAAGGATTATATTCATTAAGCAGCCCGTGGTACTTTCGCCTATCAGAGCACCTCAGCAGCCCAGAAGCTGCAGGTTGTGCAGGTGGGACTGGGCGGGAGCTGCATCTGCGGCTGGTGCTCGTGGCTCAATGTGCTGGAGATGATTCATGGAGAGCAGATCCGGCTTCTCCAACCACCCATGGCCAAGGGCTGCTCCCACCAGCTGAACGCAGCAAACTGGCTTCACGCACCTACAGCCTCAGTTGCCTTCCCCTGCTGTCTGCTCCATGTCGAGAGGATAAATTCACCAGTCAATCGGATGGAAAACTCAGCCTTCCTCCAGCAGCAGCGCCAGCGCTCACCGGCGT